TATATCCGAGTTTCATTGGCCGTAGGAAACAAGAGGCCTATTTGTGGTCTCTTGAAAAGTGGGGACGTCAACTGCTCATTTAGAGAGGAGTTAGCTATGCATTTATCTGAACGGGACAGCAATGCTCATCCTGAGGAAACCTGGTGTGATATTAAGTCTGCTGTGAAAACAGCGGTAAAGATAGTTGGCTAACTAAACCTGAAGGTTAGCAAACGTCATTATATTTCCGCAACGTCATCCGAACTGACTAATGCGAGAAGACTGAAATCAGGTATCTCTGACCGCGACGAAGAGTGCGGGCGACTTAAACTTAAGTTGACCAAGACTTTTCGCGTCGATTGCGGGCAGCGGTGGGTAGCGAAAGCGAGAGAGATGAAAAAAGCATCAGCGTTAGGTAGCACTCGGCAAGTATTTAGGTTCATTAGGGATACCCGCAAGAAAAAGACGATGGCAAGTGAAAGCATCACCGAGAAGGATGCGGTGCTGATAATATCCCAGGACAGGGGGCTACAACGTTGCGTAGGACACTGAAGCACAGTTCAACTGGCCCTCAGCAACCCTTCCGTTGCTCAACATCCAACCTGAACCTGAACAGGACGTCGATGTCAGTCCAACTCCCCTTGAAGTTGAGAAAGCTGTATCTAACCTGAAACGATTCAAAGCAGCAGGAGCTGACATTTTGCCGCATTAAGTTTTCAAGCATGGAGGTGGAAAATTGCTGCTTAAAGTGACGAAGATACTAGGTATAGTGTGAATGAGACTTACCTACTTCTCTGATCATCCTAGTTTATAAGAAGAGAGAGAAATCTTCTTGTGACAACCATAGGGGGAATTAGCTTGAGTAATATTGTGTCCAAGATCTTAGGGTCCATAGTCATGCGACGCCTAACTGGAGCTCGATAACAGGAAACTCGAGGAAACCAAGCAGGTTTTAGACAGAGCCGGACAACGTTGCATCGACCATATTCTTATCCTACGACAGGTTCTGGAACACAGACATACTCACCTGGAGATCGACACTTGTCATATTTTTTGACCTGGAGGTAACATTTGAGTTGTTGACCATGAGTGCAGTAGATGTGTCTGATTGTGTAGGGTTCTCTAGGAAGACTGTAACGCTAGGAGAATCCCTGCACTCGAAGTGAAGCTGACTTATATTAGCTTCTGTCGAGGTGTTTTGTGAATCGACAACTAGTTTTCGTCGGGGATATCCGGTGTCACCGCTGCCATTTAACTTCGTCGTAGACCTACTAATGGAAATAACCTTACCTATGTCTCGCTTCCCAATGATTTGCTTACTCTCTGAAGGTCATCCAGTTGACTTGGAATTTGCGGACGATATTCTACTGCTAGTTGAAGACGATGACGCCATTTAGCGTTTTCTGGACACCTTGGGCATAAGTGTATATGTTTGGCATGCCTTTTGTTGACATCTGTCAATTGTAAGATGTTACTCCAGGACTGCTCTGCCCCAAGTTCTTCTTGCTTAATGAAAGGGAGTGAAGTACTGGAATGTGTCGATCACTTCATTTCTTTCGGGAGTTGCGTCAGGTCTTATTGGCTGATTTCTGACGAAATCTCGACTCGGATACATGAGGCCAGTTTAGCGTTTACCAACCTACGTAAGCTGTGGCTTCGGCAAAATATTAGACTGTCTATCAAAGAACGAGTATACTGGGCTGCAGTCTGTCCTCTACTGTTATACGACTGTGAGATATGACAGTTAAACGTAGAAGACATGAAGTGGTCGTAATGTTTCATCGCAGATGCCTTCTTAGCATTTCTCACGTTTGGCTGAATCACTGTGTGAGAAATGTTTAGGTCAGGCAAAGAATACTAGGCAAGGCATGCAATTCGATTGAGATCGTTTGGACATGCGTTGTGCATGCTAACCCCCCACCTACCTCGACGTACCGTGCGTGCTAAGGAAAGTTGGATGAGGATGGTAACTTGAGTCGACCTACACCTGTGCGAGGTTCTACGTTGGTTTTGTCAGACACAGTGGAGTAGGACGGGTTTGTAATTCACTCACAGGGGAGACGACTGGAACGATGGCTCAAAACTTCGAAGGATAGTTCTAATAGCTTCGAGCTATCATTCCGTTATCTACCACTTCAGTCGGAACACTGAGATGGGGTGTGGAACACTTACAGAAGTTGAGAATGCTGTTAGAAACATGAAAAAAAGTAGAAGAGCCCAAATGAATATTACTCGAGGAATTTAAGAGCGGTGGTCGCAGAGTACTAGTCAGGTGAACTGATGTACTGGCTAGTTTATCGAGGTCAGATATAATCCCCTCTGACTGATCTCAAACACTGATACACAGGACCTTCGACACTGGCAGAAGTCGAGGAATCTGTAAGCAATCTAGAACGAAGAAGAGCAGCGGAACGAGATGGACTAGTGCTGGAGGTATTTAGGAAGTGGTAGATGACAACTGGTTAGATAAATTAAAGTGTTGGTTAGCGCATGGAAGCTAAGCGCCTTGAGTTGCTTCCATCAAATACGTCTACTATCTCTATATTGATTTCATCTTGCCTAACCCTCCTTGTTCGACTTTAACGAGAATAATCTAGTTACAGAAGAATTCTTGATAAATCTCAAGCACGCAGATGATATAACACTGATAGGTGGTCTTCTGGACACCCAGAGTGGCAATTTAGGACGTTCGGGATTCATTGCGCGCAACACATTTATAAATTGCTACTCTGTGGTTCGTCTTCGCTGTTGAGTTCGCTGACCACTACACCTACCCGGAAAGTAGGATCATCCCTGATGGGTCAGTAACTGACAAAATTCCTGCACGGATAAGAAAGGCTTGATTCCCTTTCGCCATCTTTAACACTACCATGTTACACAATCGCCTGTTGTTATATGACCCTAATGGTCACACTGAATTTCAGAATCCTGTCACTGCTCCCTTTTCACGAATTTCCACCACTTTTGATCAATTTCATCTGTCACCTCAATATATTCCCGTTTGAAGTGCTGATATGAGTGAAAACCTGAACCCACTACGCAGTAACACCATGTTCTATGTCCTAAAAATCTTCACATGACAAACAAATAGGTCCTGCTGCTTTGCGCTGTTCCAGGTTTGAAACAACTGTCCTAACTTTGAGGAGAGTTGAGGGATTGACATCTACATTTTATTCAGGGTACTGAGCGACCTGAGCATTCCATCTAACGTTCTAGCCACCTCTCCTAAAAGGTTATCACGGCAACATCCTTCTCGATGATGGCTTCACTAATCATCATTTTCTTCTTCTTGACAGTTTCCCTAATAAGCCGTAATAACTGCCGAGCATTACCTAAAGCCGTCTTCTCTATCTAATTAGCCTTCGCCACTGTTTGAGATGATTCTTAGTCAATTCACGTCTGGGTTGCTTCGCTATTCAGAGTCAGTTGGAATGAGTCTTCCCGCCTCAATAAATTTCATGAGGTTGCCGAAATCCACTGGGTCTGACTAACCTTTGAATTAGGCTACCAGCTATCTTTAGCACTGTTTCTACAGCTTAGTGAGTATCACGCCGTTCGTTCCGATGTAGGTGGACACCAAGTGAGGCGGTGTTTCTCCTTATGCTTATTGTTAGCGCTGGCGAAAGTTAAGTGATTATCAGAATAAAATTGCACCTGGAGAACATCGAATGAAGTTTGTATAGTTCAAATACATTGAATAAACCAATGAAAGAGCGAATTTAGTAGAAAAACTGCTTTTATTTCAATCAATATAAAGAAAGAATAACCAACTTATTTACACACAACACAATAAAATCAGAATAGTTAAGTCAATTCATCTTTCCATTGGTTATAGAAATGCTGTGACCGTTTTGACACTGCATGTAAAACTATGAGTAGATCTCGACGGACGCCAAATCTACAAAATAAATGAATATTTTTCTCTGATTAGTAAAATTCAGTTAACTTGACGCAAACCATGATCCATGAGTATCTAGATATACCATATTGAAAAAAACATACAATGAAAGCGATCGAGTAATGAAAGTAGTTTTTATTACTTTAGCTGGCTTATTTTTTTCTTACTATCCGTGAAATACAAATCTCTCGAGTGAGAGAGATACAGTAACAGTCACAGTGACTCGCTGCAAATATTTTTTCTGGCGGGGGTTCGAAAATGGCTGCCCGAAATGTATTCCTTTACGTAGTAACTTTTAAATCATACATAATACGTGAGAGGAATACTTTTTGTACTCAATTAGGTAAAATGAAACGTATCGAACAGAGAAACGGATACTCAAATACCTTAGCTGTATCTGTAAACGACATCGATAACACTGATATAACTAGAGAACTAAGTGAAGTATATAACAAATTTGTAGATACCACTGGATATAAACATTCAAATTACACTGATTATACAGTTGAACAGTGCTCAAAGTGAAAATATGGAGGGGATATTCAATAGTTCTAGTTGTGACAACGATCAGTAGCCGTGTGTGAAGTTAGTGAAAGTAGAACGAGAGGTAACAAAGAGAACAAAAAAATTTTAAATTTCATTGAATTCGCTTGTGGCTTTGTTTCTAGGTAAAAACAGAATGATTACATCCATCCCTGGAACAGACTGAAAAAAACTGTTGAGTGTACTACGCAACTCTTGTCACTGTGAGTACGTTTACTACTTATCTATAAGTAATCACCAGTCGTAATCATCTCAACCTTTATAGCAATTTTTTCCATTTACTACATACTAAAAAAGATTACAGTACAAATCATAAATGAGCTAATTGGTCTGACAGAAAACAGGTCATCAGTAATTCACCTGCTTTTGCCAAGGATCAAATATCAACTAAACCTTGCATCTCTACACCTAAAGGTACTAAATAACCATAGTGACAATACAGAACGAAAAACAGCATGAAAAAAACGTAAATGAACGAATTTCAACTACACTCATAGTCATCAATTCTGGCAGAAACACAGTAGAACTTACCCATTTCGTTTAGTCAACTTGTTGATTGTCCATTCAGGTGGACATAAAGTCAGTTTCTTGATTTTGTTGTCCTCGAAATAAACCTGAATATTATGTAGACCGACATGACACGTTAAGTTTAGACCATATGTTTATCTCAATATACAGAGAGGAAAAAAACAGTTACTAGCCGGTAGGTAAGACACTAGTGTAAAAATCGAAAAAGGCGGAAATCGAGAATAACTGCAGTGACTTATAGGTTACAACAAGTGAAGGAGTGATAAGGTTTGGTTTAAGCCATAATTCTTTGGTGTAAGTTGACACTACAACTTACCAACATTACATCTTGAGCATTGATGTAACATATTGGGTCTGTACAAAGAGGCCCGTTTGGCATTTACAAACTTGTATCATCTCTGGCGCTGATTGAAGAAATATCCAACTATCTATCAAAGACGAGTAAACTACACTGCAGTCTGTTATGCCCTGTTGAACGTTAAAAGTAGAAGACATGAAAGGGTTACAGAGTTTTCATCATCGGTTTCTTCGCAGCATTGCTCTCGTTTGTCGGTATCACCGTGTGACCAATGTTAAGGTCAGGCGAAGAGTACTAGGCAAGACAAAGGTCGATTGATGAAGATGGACGACTGTTGCGCGCACCGATCCACCTCCTACTTTTATGCGCCATGCTAGAGAAAGTTGGATTAGGATGCAGAAGTTTTCGGGCTGTCTAGACCAAGACGTGACACCAATCCATAAAGTCCCTGATTGTTGATCTGAGTCGTGTGGGGGACATAGAGACTGTCTGATTAGAGGTTTCCGAGACGGAAGGGATCAGTGGTTTAGGACATTTGGTGACATGGCTGAAAATCGGTCGATGTGTCGCATACATATTCACTATTTGACGTCTTCTAAAGCTTAAATATTCACACTAACCGTTATCTTCAAATTTCTATTCTCTCACACAACTTTGTCTACCTTTTTTCTATCCAACAGTTCTTTGTGTACTACTGTGAAGTGTGGCAACTTGAGCCGATCCAGCTCTGTGCGAGGTTCTACGTTGATTCTATCAGTGCGTCTGTATATTTTTGTAGAGGCCAACCGAAGTAAGAAGGAAGACCAATCCTTGTTGTAGAGGACAGTGTGAGTTGCGTATGGTGATTTTGTGATAGCCATCTAGATGTAAGACGTCTGCAGTAAAAACTACCAACATCATGCACTCTTAAGGCTCTGAGTTTGTTCAACGATAGTTATCTGCATTCCACCACTACTTTCATCGTAGAACTGTTCATATGTGAGTGAAAGTCGGATATGGTAGAGTCCGTTTAAGTGTAATGAAGATCATAGTTCATTCAGTAAAGTGGGGACGTCATTACCCAGTGAATTTTATACCTGAGACCATTTCTCGATGTTAGGAAGAATCGAAATCTCATAGTTTAAAAATAGTTTGAAGGAATGTAAATATCAAATGAGTGATTAATACCAGAATTCAGTGGTGACTGGTTTTTAGTTTTCTGAATGAACAATAACCATTCTTAGATGTCTCACTAGTAACCTCTTCTCTGATCATCAATAATACATGAAGGTTTTTCTGAAATGACATACAACTTTTTCTTGTAGAGTTAGTTTCTGAACCTCTCGATGGGTGAAATTTAAGAATAAACCAAGTTTAATACTAAATACTACAAGTGGCACAGATGAAGACGTCAAAGTCAGGATCGGAAAAGCAAGAGAGGCATTCATTTGCCTGAAACCAGTGTGGAGATCTTCTGCACTCAGCATGTGGAACAAGATCCGTATTTTCAACACCAATGTCAGTCAAGTCAGTGCTTCTATGTGATGGTTAAGAAACTTGGCGCGTCACGGGAAGCATTTCTAACAAACTACAGACATTCACCGACCACTGCGTACGCTCGTTACTGAACATCAGATGGATGGCCAGAAAGAATAAGCAACAAGGACCTCTGGCCTCTGGCTGGCAACGAACCAACCAAGAACCTATCACCCAACAAATGTGCAGAAGATAGTGGAGATGGATTGGATTGGGTATGCACTGAGAAGACCATTTGGGGGATATAACGCTCCAGGTCAGGCACTCGAGTGGTTCAAAAGATTGTAGAGAACAGAGTGAAATGGAGACATGCAAGTGAAGCCTTATGTTCCATTAGGAACCCAAGGACGAATAATAATAGTACTTTATTTTTTCCATAAATCTAATGATGCATACCCTGTGATTAATGATTACAGGCTTTGGTGAGATGAAGTATGTCTGCTATCATATAACTGATGATAATGTCGGAATATGTTATTGATTGAAATCAAATTATATACAATGCAAATCTGTAGAAAATTTCTATTATTCAATCTGCCATCAATAAAGCAACTGTGAATCACCTAAGTATTTTTTAATTATGATCAAAGATGCAGTGCCTGTGACATCAATTCCCAACAGGAATCATGATATTTGAAGGATGTGTCCAAGGTGTGGATAAATCAAATTAAGTTGTCGAACATCTGCTTTCATGTCTTCACTTCTATAGGAAACATTCACCAACCGAATGTAGCTATTAGGATTCATACATATGGACAGAATTTTCGATATGATCCTATGAATGTTTCCAAAAAGATAAAATTCTTTCTACCTTCGGCAGTACAACATGAAATTTAAAAAATACAGAAAAATAACGTGATGAGTTTACAAATATATTACCTCAAGTGCGTTATCCATAACCGAATACAGACATCAGGATCCCAAGATGGAGGAGGTTGGTTCACATCAAAAACTAGCTTCAAACAATCAATGACTCTAAAAATAAAAAGCCGGAATTCAGTAAAAGCGATAATTAAAACGACGGACATACTAATTGCTACCTACTTACAAGTAGTTCGATACTTAAGTATAAAAATTCTAGAAAAATGAGATGATATGAAATGTCCTCACAACTAGTCAATAGTTAGTTCTTTATAACCTTGAATAAAGAATGTAATGATTTTTTTTTGTTCTAAAAACTTCTTATACCCTTATTTTTGACACCAAACCATACAGATGCTAAGCAACGTGAATTTACACAACAGACATTGCTGATAAATGAAAGTCGTTAAAGAGGAACTATTCTAATAAACAGAATTTACTTGCTAAATATGAATTTGTTTTATGTAACTAAATGATTTCAACTTTGTATCTTTCAAATACTTGCTTTGGCTCGCATAATAACTTTCATTATATACATGATACTCACAAATTATTGGTTAGACCCAGATAGAGAACACTAAACCATGGTGTGTACTGCTCGACATTTTCAGCATCTGGAGTTTAGCGCTTCCAACGAAATGAGTCATCATTCAGTACCAGGATAACCTGGATTCAATTAATTACCACTTTAATCAGTTTAGGCCGGTTCCTGATACTTATGTTAGCTTTTCGTATACTATACACAGATCACATCATAGTAATAGCACTTATGGACACTACAAAAAGCAATGGCTTTCATATCCACCAATGTGAACCAGACCACATTCCCTTGTTTAGAACATAGGGCAACAGCCGTTATTTCAGACTATGAAGATTTCCAACAACTAGCATTTCGAGTCTGAGAACTGAGACGTCCTTTGTCAGATACAGACAGACTTAGAAAATCAACGTAGAACCTTGCACACTAGTGCATCGGCTGAAGCTGTCACAGCTCAAGGCAGTATGACAAAGAACAAGTGGATTTTAACAGAGTGATATTAAACTAGACAAAGTTGTGTGAGAGAATGGAAATTTGAAGATAACGGTTAGTGTGAATATTTAAGCTTTAGAAGACGTCAAATAGTGAATATGTATGCGACACATCGACCGATTTTCAGCCATGTCACCAAATGTCCTAAACCACTGATCCCTTCCGTCTTGGAGACCTCTAATCAGACAGTCTCTATGTCCCCCACACGACTCAGATCAACAATCAGGGACTTTATGGATTGGTGCCAAGTCTTGGTATGGTTGGGTTTACAACGCTTCAGTGTGAGCAGTTCTGCTCTACGCCTGTACAACTTGACCCCTCCAAACTGAGGATGTGCGACGACTCCGTGTTTGATCATTGTTGTCTCCGTAGCATTGCTCGTGTCTGGTAGCAACACCATACAAGTAAATTTGAGGTACGACAGAGTGTGTTTAGCTATGACAGAGATCGTCATCCAATGAGTGAGGTCATCTGGAAACACCGACTTCGAAGGCCTGGACAAGTATTACGCATGTCGTCCCAACGGCTTCCATGCCCCTCATTGTTTCCTAACCCTGAGACCCGATGGAAGAAGCGGAGGGGTGGTCTGTGTATGACATGGCGCTGTGGGATGAAGGATAGTCGTATCGGGCTAGCATCTGTTGGTGTGTCGAGAATCCCTGGGTGGGGTCCGAGAAGTCACACAACTCAGTGGTTTGAAACGCAATCAATATGGTTCAGAATTGAAACCAGTTGCAGTCATGTTATAGCTTCCTTTTATCTTTTGCTGCCGAAAAGTAATGGATGTTCTCTTTTGAATGCGCTTTACTGGACTGCCCTTCTAATCATTCTATTATATTGTGTTTTTCTTTGTATCCGCTTCCCTTCCCTTTATGTCTTCGAAACGCTGTTATATATTTTTGTGGTGCATTTCTTGGTATCCTTGTTCTTAAATGTTTGTGTTCTGATAATAATAATAACAATAATAATAATAATAATAATAATAATAATAATAATAATAATAATAATAATAGTAGTAGTAGTAGTAGTAATAGTAATAATAGTAATAATAATAATAAAGACTGCAGTTGCATGCTACAAATCATGGCTTTCAGTTGGTCCTCATGTGTATATGATTACCATTATTCGTCCCTCGGGTTCCTAACGGAACATAGGGCTTCACTTGCACGTCTCCATTTCACTCCGTTCTCTACAATCTTTTGAACCTGGCTCCACGACTGCCCATAAGCTCTCATTTCTCCCTCACATGATCTCTTCCATGTCACCCTCATCTCGGACGCCGAACTGGCAGTTTCTCATCTGGGTTCCACTCGAGTGCCTGACCTGGAGCGTTATATCCCCAAATGGTCTTCTCAGTGCATACCCAATCCAATCCATCTCCACTATCTTCTGCACATTTGTTGGGTGATAGGTTCTTGGTTGGTTCGTTGCCAGCCAGAGGCCAGAGGTCCTTGTTGCTTATTCTTTCTGGCCATCCATCTGATGTTCAGTAACGAGCGTACGCAGTGGTCGGTGAATGTCTGTAGTTTGTTAGAAATGCTTCCCGTGACGCGCCAAGTTTCTTAACCATCACATAGAAGCACTGACTTGACTGACATTGGTGTTGAAAATACGGATCTTGTTCCACATGCTGAGTGCAGAAGATCTCCACACTGGTTTCAGGCAAATGAATGCCTCTCTTGCTTTTCCGATCCTGACTTTGACGTCTTCATCTGTGCCACTTGTAGTATTTAGTATTAAACTTGGTTTATTCTTAAATTTCACCCATCGAGAGGTTCAGAAACTAACTCTACAAGAAAAAGTTGTATGTCATTTCAGAAAAACCTTCATGTATTATTGATGATCAGAGAAGAGGTTACTAGTGAGACATCTAAGAATGGTTATTGTTCATTCAGAAAACTAAAAACCAGTCACCACTGAATTCTGGTATTAATCACTCATTTGATATTTACATTCCTTCAAACTATTTTTAAACTATGAGATTTCGATTCTTCCTAACATCGAGAAATGGTCTCAGGTATAAAATTCACTGGGGTAATGACGTCCCCACTTTACTGAATGAACTATGATCTTCATTACACTTAAACGGACTCTACCATATCCGACTTTCACTCACATATGAACAGTTCTACGATGAAAGTAGTGGTGGAATGCAGATAACTATCGTTGAACAAACTCAGAGCCTTAAGAGTGCATGATGTTGGTAGTTTTTACTGCAGACGTCTTACATCTAGATGGCTATCACAAAATCACCATACGCAACTCACACTGTCCTCTACAACAAGGATTGGTCTTCCTTCTTACTTCGGTTGGCCTCTACAAAAATATACAGACGCACTGATAGAATCAACGTAGAACCTCGCACAGAGCTGGATCGGCTCAAGTTGCCACACTTCACAGTAGTACACAAAGAACTGTTGGATAGAAAAAAGGTAGACAAAGTTGTGTGAGAGAATAGAAATTTGAAGATAACGGTTAGTGTGAATATTTAAGCTTTAGAAGACGTCAAATAGTGAATATGTATGCGACACATCGACCGATTTTCAGCCATGTCACCAAATGTCCTAAACCACTGATCCCTTCCGTCTCGGAAACCTCTAATCAGACAGTCTCTATGTCCCCCACACGACTCAGATCAACAATCAGGGACTTTATGGATTGGTGTCACGTCTTGGTCTAGACAGCCCGAAAACTTCTGCATCCTAATCCAACTTTCTCTAGCATGGCGCATAAAAGTAGGAGGTGGATCGGTGCGCGCAACAGTCGTCCATCTTCATCAATCGACCTTTGTCTTGCCTAGTACTCTTCGCCTGACCTTAACATTGGTCACACGGTGATACCGACAAACGAGAGCAATGCTGCGAAGAAACCGATGATGAAAACTCTGTAACCCTTTCATGTCTTCTACTTTTAACGTTCAACAGGGCATAACAGACTGCAGTGTAGTTTACTCGTCTTTGATAGATAGTTGGATATTTCTTCAATCAGCGCCAGAGATGATACAAGTTTGTAAATGCCAAACGGGCCTCTTTGTACAGACCCAATATGTTACATCAATGCTCAAGATGTAATGTTGGTAAGTTGTAGTGTCAACTTACACCAAAGAATTATGGCTTAAACCAAACCTTATCACTCCTTCACTTGTTGTAACCTATAAGTCACTGCAGTTATTCTCGATTTCCGCCTTTTTCGATTTTTACACTAGTGTCTTACCTACCGGCTAGTAACTGTTTTTTCCTCTCTGTATATTGAGATAAACATATGGTCTAAACTTAACGTGTCATGTCGGTCTACATAATATTCAGGTTTATTTCGAGGACAACAAAATCAAGAAACTGACTTTATGTCCACCTGAATGGACAATCAACAAGTTGACTAAACGAAATGGGTAAGTTCTACTGTGTTTCTGCCAGAATTGATGACTATGAGTGTAGTTGGAATTCTTTCATATAAGTTTTCTTCATTAGGGCGATCTCGCAAAACGTCCCCTTGGTGATAACAACACCCGGAAAGCAGACCTAATGGCTAAATTGTTTTAGCCAGGGCACTGTGCACTTTCTAAAAGCCAAGAGAAAGGGATGGCACAAATGGAAACTCTCCAGAGAAGAGGATGGTCACGACGCATATATAGCTCTACGAAATCGAAGCAACATCAGGGTGCGAGGAGACAGGAGGTCGTTCCAGTCCAACCTCGCAGAACAAACCACTGCTTACTTCATCACCACTATTAGGCGCCAAACGGACAACTGTGTGATAGGTCTAACTGTCTCGAATAACTGTTATAGCTCAGGTTGCTGCATCTGCTGCGAAACATATTCCAATAACTTCTACGTCCACGATTTGGTACTCTTTGGAATTTGACAGAGTCGCAGTAACAGACGATCAAAGGTAATGTCGAAGGTCTTCTGTTTACTTGCTTTGCATTTTTACTGCTCTACTGCTCTACTCCATCTATTTATTAATATGCGTGGTAAAAGTGCTGCTCCCGAAAAATGAATAGTCTCCGAAGTACTTCGGGTATAGCCTCACCGCAGTCACTGACCACCTTATTCCCAGTGGTTATTAGGGATGGGGCTATGAACTG